TGGATCTCAAGGCAGCCCTTTGTCATGATTGTTGCCTTTGGGATTCCCACCAGTGCCTTCCTCCCTTCTCTAGAGCCTGCTGGAAGGTGTGGCCTGCACTGACGTCCTTCCACCTGCTCCTCTGAGACATTTTTACTGGCAAACACTCAGGCCACTAGAGTGTTTCAATGTCAATCATCTCTTTATCCAACTTAATGAGCTTAAAGATCTGAAGAAATGAGATGTAGCAATCCCTTGCCAAGAGATGCAGGGGTCTTGGTAAAAAGCTCAACAGACAAATCTAATTCCCTTAAAAAGTTTTGTCCATTGCTTTTCAAATCTATTTTAATGCACAGAGAAATCTAACTGATACTGGTTAAGATTCTGACTAATGGAGAGGAGAGCCTGTGGGTTGCAGGGTAAAACTGTATATCATAGTTATCAAAGCTGTAACTTATAGGGAGCAGATTACCAGACCTGTCTTTAGGGAGTAGGTTAGAAGCTTTCAGATAGTAGTAAAGTACCCAACCACCCTAAGTTTCCTGGCATGATCCTATCAGTTTTTAGGACATCCCCCTCCTCAATAAGACCTTTAGGAGGAACTTTAACTTCCTCTAAATACTCTATCACTGGTATATATGCCTTGTTAAGAGAACTTTTCACATTTTTGATATTTCAACTACCCAAAATTCCTGTATTACACACACACACACACACACACACACACACACAACGCCCCTAAAAAGCACAGAGTACTAGCAAGCTCACCCCTGGTATCTCCCACTTCTTGTCTTCTCACAGCAGAGAATCAAAAAAAGTGAAAAGCAGAGTAAGAAAATCTCTCTGAAAGTGCTTAGGAGAACCAAAGCTGAGTATTATCACAAAGATGAATGTCATATTATTCAATTCAGGATAATAATCTTTCTCAAGGACTAAATTTTAGTCTTTCATTATTACATTTATCATAGATAGTAACTGGAGGATATGGTAGACTAAAAAACATGCATATATTTATTTACTAATCTTTGTCTGGAGGGCCAAGATCTTGTCTTGGGTATGGGTCAATTGCCAAATTAAAAGTGGCCTTTCTTTTTTGTTCAATGCAAATACTTTATCTTTTTTTGTTTAAATTTTATTTTATACTGGTTTATATACAAAGTTCATAAAGTTCATATACAAGTTATCTTTATTTTATATATCATTCATAATATGTGACCTGTACCCCAAATGAAGTTTCTACAAAGAACAAAAATGTCAAAAACATTAATAATCTATGTGCAGAGTCTTATTAGACTTTTTTTTTGTTGTGTACCATCAAATTGGATCCAACTAGCAAAGGAGGAGAGTGCCTCTCCTTTTCCAGCAGAGCATCTCGTGGATTCGAACCAGGTACCTTTGTGATTGCATCTTTTTAGACTTTTCAGAGTCCTTTCTCAATCTTCCAGTTTGTTCACCTTATATATCTAGCAGTAATTTCTTTTAGGGACTTGTATTTATCAAGTCATTCCAAGCATGTGAAATGTTTTATTTTTTTAAAAATTGTGATTTTTAATGAAAGTTTACAGAAAAGTTGGATTTTTCATTTATTCACTGTCGCACATTTTCCTCCCTGCTGCTCCCCATTCGCTTTAAAAAAAAAATCATTCATTGTTGCATCATTTCCTCCCCCTCCTCAAAATATTTTTTTTCATAAAACTTTTTTTTCTGTACTCACATGTCACAGCCTTACTGGTATTTCATTAAGCTGCATAATTCTAAGAGCATATTCAATGAACATAAGAACCAGGAATACAACTTACTCTTGGTAAGCACAAGACTCAGTGGCTGAAATGCCACTCCAGCTGCTGGCAAAATAACAGTAAACATTCAGTGCACTAAATTAGTGAAAAGAAAGCTGGTTAAGAGACTGTCTACTAAACAGAGGGTACTATATAATAATTACCTAATTACCTTGAATATCCAAAAGATTTCAAATGAACAAAATGTCAATACCAATTGACAGCACTTTTAACCAGTAATCAACAGAAAAAAGCAAGAGATCTGAATGACAGGAAACTCATTCTCATCATGTTATTTCTCTGTATCTTCCACAAGAGTCTAAACTCCATGCACATCAGTCTTCTTTGTATCACTGAACCTGGTACTCTGTGGGGGCTCAAGAAGTGTTTGCTAAGTATGTTCATATTTTAGCCACCATCACTGCTGACCTAAAAATAGTTTTATGTGGTGGAAAACACATAATGCTAGAAAGGTGATTCGCTGTCTATTAACTTCTAACCTTCTTTGATCATTACATATTTCTTGACACTGGTTAACTAAATTTATATATCAGGGTCCAACTTACATTTATATTACTATTAAACTAACACTGATAATATTCTATAAACTCTTTTATCTTGAACAAAGGCACTGATGTTATATAAAATAAATGTCAATTGAATGTGCTATTAAATGTGAATTTCACAGTCTTCCAAAGTATAGCCATTACTACTTCCAGTTTCTGGCACTTCTAATAACATCAAAGTTCTTCTGGAACTAAAAAATTGCTTTTCTTCTCAACAGATTTATAGAATCTGAGAATTGAACAACACCCTAGAGATTATTCTGTGATCCAAAAGCCTTCCCAATTAAAAGATCACATCTAAACTACTCAACATTGTGAGCAAAGAGGAATGTTTATCTTTAAGACCCACATGAGAGAGTGCTGCATAGTAGGTTCTTAACGCTTGTTTAATTGAACTGAACAAATCTAAAGTGAGTCTATTTCATTAATTTTCTTGTTCTTCCCAGGCTTTAGCTGTAACATCGACTGAATCCATAATTAAAGATTTGCATGAATTTTTTGCTTATTACCCAACATTCAAAAAGAAATTCAATGAAAGGCAACTCTATGACCAGTGAAATGTTCAAATCCAGTAAATCAGGCTTCTAACACTTTACAATTTTAAACTAATAGGCAATCCTCATGCCTGGTCTGACTTGCATGAAGAGATGGGAGAGCTTAACCATGCAAGTAAAATGTAATAAACATTAATGCTGCTAATGCCAATACTTAGTAAAATGTTAATGGGGAAATAGAAAATCATGCCTTTGTAATTTTGCTTGTAACCTATAAAAAGTTTGAAAGTTTGCAATTTATCCAAATATTCTTTTTGTCAATTTCTAGTATGATATTTTTTATCAAATAAAGTCTTGTATCTTTTAGACAAGTAAAATACTCTTATAATTGGAATGTTCACTGACTTAACCATAGTACTTTAGTAAGACATGTTATTATGCCAATTATTTTTCCCTCCAGTTAACAATCTGTGATTCCATCTGATTCCCCAGAATATGGTATGATAATGAAAAGAACAAAGCCTCTGGACGAGTAGCCACCAATAATTTGACTTTACTCAAGTTATGTATTCCAAAATAGTATATCACTTATAAGATGGCCTTGCTTAGTATCCCTATTACAATGCATCTGTTTTGGGGACTTTTATATTATTTGCTAGGATACAAAGTATACATTTCCAAATCCAGTTCCCTTCTTTTTCCTAAAAAAGGGAGCACAGCATACAGGATCCCTCAATAGCACAATTAGTACTTCACCAACTCCTTTTTTTTTCCTTCAGGCAATAATTTAAATTCCCACTTCCTCCTAAATCTCTCTGGACAGCAATTCCTGGCAGTCCATCACAGCTTCTTTTCATAACTAACGGGTCAAGTTCCTTTCCCATTTCAACCTGATATACTGTACTACAGTCTTGTTGTCACAGCCCACCAATGAGTACAGGAATATAACATATTGAATTTCATTCCCCTTCATTGTTTCCAGTTTAACTGCCATATTACTATCACGCACACACCACAAACGCATTCCTATCAGTATCTTATGAATTTCTAAAGCAGCTATTCTTTGTGGATTTACAAAACAATGTGCCTTTTCTGAAGTCCTTCATAACCACAGAAAAGGCTTTGAGAAATCCCGGATTTTGGTTTTTCGATGTATTCTGTAGTTGTTGTTTTAAAGTACCTTATGAAAAAAAAAATTTCATCCTGGTGGCACAGCGGTTCAAGCACTTAGCTGCCAACCAGAAGGTCAGAGGTTCTATCTCACAAGCTTCCTCCACTGGAAAGAAGCTGAGGCTTTTCCCAAAAAGATCTACCGTCTCAGGAATCCTATGGGGCAATTCTATTTTGTCCTACAAGTATATGGTTTGGTTAGGTTACTGATTTTAAGCAAAAGAACCGTACCCTCAATATTTCATTTGTCTACTAAATGTAATCCTAAAGGCCCTCCTTTTAAGTGCATGGGAAGCATGTCAGGGTAAAGATCTTCAGGAGAGTCTTTGGTTTTCCCAATTAAAATGAAAACATTTTCAAGCCACGAAGACTAATCTTACCAAATGTCCTTTCTTCTCAGTCTACCCCGTAAGGGCTACTCAGCGCATTGTTAAATAAACAGCTGGCTTTGGCTTTTGCACAACACCCTAAATCTTCCTAACACCCCCCCCCCCCCCCTTTGGACGCACAGACACACATAATCCCTCGGCAAATCCCAACCCCACCAATGAAGCGGACGACTTCTCGGCCACAAAGGGACCGCCCGCGCCTCGTGCACGGCGGCCTCTACACACATGTGCCGGACTGACAAGTGCGGAACTGTCCTTCTGAGATCAAAAGCTGGGGGCCTGCACTGAAAATCGAGCCCTTCCGACACCCACTGGCTTCTCCCCCTAAGTCCGTCTCCCCAGTGACAGCCCGCAGCCGTGAAGTCCCCCGGCCGCATGCCGGCATCCCGTCCCCCCAATCTCGCTCCGGCCAGTCATATATGGCCACGCTAAAACCCACTTCCCCTCCGCCCCACAGTCTCTCTCTCTCCTCTTCACCTCAAGAAATTCCGTCGGAACTCAACTTGGGCCCAGCAGGGGGACCACGTCCCCGCGCCCCAGCACACCCTCACCTAGAGGCCGCGCCCCCTATGCCCCCGCCCGAGGCGGTCCCCGACGCCCGCGACCCCCGGCGGGGCGCCTCACCTCCTCCTCGCTCTCGCTTCTGAAACACAGGCACGCGGCCCGCTTCTTGTAGCCATCGCCGTCATAGGTGCGGGTCTGGTTCGACTTGAGCTTCATCATCCTCCGGGCCCGGATGGGGGTGCGGTGCGGGTCGCGGGAGTCGAGGGATGGGGAACCCGCTCAGGACGGCCGCGCGCGCGCGCGCCCCCGTCTCGGCCAAGAGAAGCAGGGAAGGGTGGAGCTGCTTCTCCGTTACACGGCTCCGCCACTGGCCCGCCGCGGCCGCCTCATTCCCCCCGGCCCAGGCCCCGCGCTGCAGTCACGGCTGCCGTCGCCGCCGCCGCCACGGCCGCCGCCCCCTCTGCCACCGCCACAGCCGACGACGACCGCGCCGCCATCTTGGGCGCGCTACGTCAGCAGCGTAAAGAGGCGCCGAGCTGCAGGACGGCCGCGCGCTGGCAGCGCAGACCTCGTTCCGGAATCGCGCCCGCCCAGTCCGCGCGGCGTAAACGAGCCTCTGGAATGAGGGCCGCGCGACTTGGCGGCCGCTACGCCAGGAGCGTAGGCTTGGGGGTGGGGGGCGCGAGTGGAGGAAATTAGGGAAGAAAGGATGCAGACTCCGGGTGAACCTCTGACCAGCCACGCGGTTTAATAGATGGGGAAATGGGGACTTACCCAAGGTCACCCGAGGCCGAGAATGGCCCAAGGTCAGGCCACCCGGGCTGCAGCCCTGCCTACCCATCTGGGAGAAGAAAAGCAAAGTCTGGAGGAGAAAATTGAATGTAATTAAATGCAATGGAGTAGGCCACGCTGAGTTGCCCGAGATTAAGATTAGGAAATCTTGGAAATGGGGTTGGCAAGGGAAGGGCTTGCAAATTGCGCTGACATCTTGAAGCTCTGAAAGTCTGTATGAGCTGGGGTAAATTGTCCATTAGAATTAACAAATATTTACCCTGCAATCTTTTATTGGTGCACATAGCAATTGATTCCTCTTAAAAGTAATCAAAAAGTCCAGAAAGGAAGATACACTTGTATACGTCAATTATAAAACGCCGTTTCTGGAAATAAACACGGCATATATACTGTGGAAAGTCAAATTCGTCAGGAAAAGAGAATACAGCTAAATGCTTTTTAAAATGGAAATATGGAATATAACCTGTGAATATTATCAGTAGCCCAGATCAAATCTGTTGTTAGGTGCTCCTGACTAGAATATTACTCGTGGCGACTCCTATGAACAACACAACTGAGCCCTGACCATCCCCCAAATCTCTGACAACCTTCAAGCCAATGCGGCAGTCTGTCAATCCACCTAGTTGACGGTCTTCCTCTTCTTCAATTTCCCTCCATCTTTCCAAGCATAATATCCCTTTCCAAGGAATAAACTCTCCTAGCAACATGCCCAAAGTATGCGAGACAAAGCTTCATCATCTTTGCCTTGAAGAAGCACTCTGACTGAACCTTCTCCAAGATATATCTGTTCGTTTTTTGGCCATCAGTGGGATACTCAACCACTTTTTACCAACAACACAATTCAAAGGGGTCAGTTCTTCTGTCATCCTTAGTCAATATCCAGCTCTCAGATGCATAGCAAGTGACTGAAAAGACCATGCCGTGAATCAAGCACACCTTTGTCTCCAGATCTCCTAACTGCTAATACCAAGTGTATTTGATGTTAGATTCAACTATGAAGAAATCGTTGACAGTTCAGTCTTTTCTCTATCTGTCATGATGTTGCCTGTTGGTCCAGTGGTTAGGATATTCTTCCTTGATGTTGAGATGCAATCTATATTGAAGGCTGAAATCTTTGCTTTTCAACAGCAAATACTTCAAATCTTCCTTTCAGCAAGGTTCTGTTATCTGAATAACAAAGGTTATTGATGAGTCTTCCTCCAATCAATATCTTGCTAATGCCCCACACATGGCAAAAATTCTGTACCAGATTTGTGTGGAAACTGCTTAACCCTTTTAAAACTTGCTTTTTAAAAAAACAAAACAAAAAATTTGTTGTTGTTGTTGTTATGTGCATTCAAGATGAGTATTTAGTACAACTCACAGCAACCCTAGGAGCAACAGAAATTAACCCTGTCCTATCCTACGCCATCTTCATCATCTCTGACACACTTGATCCCATTGCTGCAGTCACTGTCAATCCATCCCATTGAGGATCTTCCACCTTTCTAAACATGATGTCCTTTTCCATTGAGTAGCCTCTCTGAGCAAAATGCCCAGAGTATGTGAGACAAAGCATCACCATCATTGCCTCCAAACAACACACTGGCTGCACTTTCTCTAAGCCGTATTTGTTTGTCCTTTTCTCAGTTGATGGGATATTCAGTTGTTGGGTTGTTATATGACATAAAATCACCTGCAACCATACCGACCCTATGTACAGCAGCTCTGGACCCTGCCCTGTTCTGAACCCTGTTCTCACTAATTACAACACACCAACCCCCATTGCCCCAGTTATTGAATCAATCCATCTCATCTGGGATCTTCCTCTCCTGTGCTGTCCCTCCATCCTTTTGAGCATGATATCCTCCAGGGACCAATTTCTCCTGGCCATGTGCCCAAAGTATGTGAGAAGGAGCTTCAAAATCCTAGTCTTCAAGGAGAAACTTGGTTTCATGCTCTCCAAGACAGACCTATGTGTTTTCTTGGCAGTCCACGGTATGTTCAAGACTTTTCCAGCACCACAACTCAAAGGCATCAATCCTTCTTCTGTCATCCTTAGTCATTGTCCAGCTCTCTGACACATAGCAAGTAATTGCAAAGACCAGGACCTGGATTAGGCACACCTTAGTCTCTAGACTGACACCGTTGCTCTTCATTTCTCAGGAGAGGTCCCTGACAGAAGATTTTCCCAATGCAATTCATCTTTTAATTTCGTGACTGCTGATGTTAAGAATGTTGATTGTGGAGCTGAGCCTATCTTCTCCATCTATCATAGTGCTGCCAATTGGCCCACTGGTGAGGATCTTTGTTTTCCTGATGTTGAGCTTCAATCTATATTGAAGACTACTGTCCTTGACCTTCGCCAGCAAGCGCTTCAGGTCTTCTTCAGTTTCAGCAAGCAAGGTTGTATCATTTGCATAATGTAGTTGTTGATGAGTCTTCACCCAATCCTGATGCCATATTCCTCCTCTTAAAGCCCTGTTTCCCGGATAATCTGTTCTGCATATAGATTGAAAAGGTATAGAGACAGGATGCATCCCTTACGCATTCCTTTCCTGATTTTGAACTATGCAGTGTTTTCCTGCTCTGTTTTGAGGACTGCTTCCTGGTCCAAGTATGTTGTTGTTGTTGTTATGTGCTGTCGAGTCACTTGTGACTCATAGCGACCTTATGTACAACAGCGCTAAACTCTGCTCTGTCCTGTG